AGAATACTGAGCTTCTTCAGGATGGTTAACAACCTAACTTTGCAGAATAAAATTAGAGAAAAAGGAGGGCTGCAAGGAAAGCCAACATTTTGGCCTTAACCTTCTAAGGTCAATTAAAACTCAGGACATATGAGAACTTGTACTGTAATGTCATGTAACTCGGTAGTGTACCAAATTTTCTGATCAAGGGGACTATGGTCCCGAAGAGGAAAGTTATCAATGATGTAGAGTGTGCCTAAGGAGAGTCACTTGGAGAGAAAACATTCTCTCAGGCTTTCACAGAGAGTACATTGTCCAAGCAATGTCCGTGACTCATCCACATGGCTGACACTGACAAAGCTTCTACAATCTGAGGTAAAGGATCTCAGAATAAATCCTGAGGGGATTTCACTGACCTTATCAGACCCAAAAGCTGCAACTCTTGTTGTATAAGTCCTGCTTTCCCTTGGTCTTAACCTTCCACCAGAAAACTATAAAAACGAAATATAAGAATTAAAGCCATACTGTTATGTTGAGCTATAGGGGACTCAGGTCAACAATTTCTGACATTGTCAGTCAAGCGGAAGACCCAATACAATTATGGGCTACTGGACTCTTTTAGAATACTTTGCTGAGTTTACACACCTATAATATTCAAATAACGGAACTTAACCAAAAAAAAGTGTATACAGATGAATGTCCATTTTGTATCTGTGTATTCAAAGTGGTTAGGATAGATACATAGTTATATTCTCTCAATGAATAGAATGATTTTGTTCTAATGGTGTTTGTAAATAGGATATAACGTCCGCAACTTGTACAGCAATTCACCTCTAGGAGGAATGTATGCAATGTGTTAGTTATTGAAAGTGTCCCACCAATTTTTTTTTTCTTTTTTTCTTTTTTTTTTTTTTTTTTGCAGAACCGGGGATTGAACTCAGGCCATTGCACTTGCTATGGAAGCACTCATTCCACTGAGCCATCTCCCCAGCCCCTGTCCTACCAATTTGATTTGAAACTGTCTCATTGCTATTTGTTTATCAATAAAATTATGGGAAAATAAACAAATAAGTACATGAAAAAAACAAACAATGGACAACTTAAATGGGCAGACATTTCTCAGAAGAAGTTCAAAAAAAAAAAAAGAATACTGAGTTTATGTAGGACTATTTAAACATGAAAATTGATATAAAATAATAAATATGAAATATTTTATAAATAAAATACATATAAATGATTTTGACTAAAATTTTAATCTTTAATTTACTTATTTGCTACAGGGTCTTGATATGCAGCTCAGACTTGTACTCATCATCCTGTCTCAGCCTCACCAATGTTGAGAATACAGATGTGCACCACCACGCTCACTACTGATGGTCAGAACGGCGTGTGCCCAGGGTTCTTGGGTTAGCAAGTCATGTGGTACCCGAAAACAAACCTGGATCCTTGTGTATGCCAGGCAGGTGCTTAGATCACCAAGCTATCGTCCAGGCCCTGAATAAATATTTTTAATCTTTCTGTCTTAGTTAAAGTAAGAGTTGATTTAATGACTTCAGAGGAATAGAAAATATTCTATCAAGACTTTGATCAAATTCTTCTACATTTACTTGCATCATTTCATAAAAATAGCCTTCAAAAATGTTTATGTTAATTTATGTTAATAGTCTCACAAAGAAACTAATTTTATTCTGTGATTAGAATATACATATTTTACTCTATATTTCTTGTATCAGATTTTCTGCCCCATTCTCGGTACACTTTCCACCTCACTCTCTCGGGAAAACTCCACCCCTCATAATCAGCCCAAGCTCAGGTAGAAGAGTGTGAAGATGAGCTCCTGCCCTCCCCTGCACTCATTGAAATTCCCCAGCTTAAGCCCAGGTCTACCCAGTGAGCAAGACCTTCTGCCTCATTCTCGGGACGCATACATCCCAATCTATCACTCTCTCTGGAAAACTCCATCCCTCCCATTCAGCCCAAGCTCAGGCTCTGCGAGCATGGGGGTGAGGACCTATACTCCCCTGTGCTGGTTGGACAACCCCAGATCAAGCCCAGAGAAGCCCAGTGAGCAAAACCTCCCGCAGCACTCTCTGGACCTTTCCCAAACTGCTCTCTTACTCTTTCAGGAAAACTCCACTCCTCCCATACAGCCCAAGCACAGGCCCAGTGAGTGTGTGGGGGAGCTTCTGCACTCCACTGTGCCCCCTGGGGAGGGGACACAGCAGAAGGGCACCACTGGTTCACTGATGCGCCAAAGGAGCACAACAGATTCATTTACAAGGGGTGCAGCAGGAAGGATCTGAACACAACAGTTAGACCCAAGCCAGGCAAAACTAGAAAACTAAAACTTAAAAGATCTGCAACAGATTTCATTAGGTGCTAAAGTTATAACTGCACCACAGCTCTACAAAAAACGTCAGAAGATAGTGCTATACAAAGTGACAACAAGAAGGAAGCAAATGCAATTTCACACCCCAAGATCACTTATAAAATGTGCAGAGGACACTAGCACAGAACAAAGTGGGAATCACAAAGCTGAAATCAATGAATCAAGAGTGTCTGAAATAAAAAAACAACTGCAGAACAGTATAGAGGAACTCAGATCAAAAATTAAAAAAAAAAGAAATTTCTGAATAGCATCTGAAGTAAAGAATCAAATGCAGAAACATATGGAGGAAACCCAATGCCCACCTAAAAGAAGTGCAGAGGACACTAGCTCAGGTAAAATATATACATTAATAGCGTCGAAAGTAAATAAGCAAGAACACAAAGGTATAGAGGAACTTAGAGAGGAACTAATTTCTGAAATAAAAAAGAAATCTCTGAATCATGCATTCTGAAGTAAAGAATCAACTACAGAAACATAGGGAAGAAATCCAATCTAAAAAAACTCTACAGTAAAGGAATTAATAACTACTTCTAAAGGAGATATTAATAAAAAGACAAAGGAGATGAGGAAAATGACAGATGCCTTCAATGACAAATACAGTAAAGAAATAGATTGCATGAAGTAGAGTGAAAGAGATAAAGAGGAGCTTAAAATCTCAGTCACAAGCCTGAAAAACCATTTGATTGAACGCGAAGACAGAGTTTCAGATCTTGAAGACACCAGTGCAGCTAGCAAAATAATAAGAAAAGATCGCTAAAAAACAAATAGGATGTAGGAAACAATAATTCATCACCTGCAAGAGGATGCAAAGATGCACAATGTGAAACTAATAGGCATCAATGAGAAAGATGGAGTCAATACAAATGACATAAAAAGAATATGGGCAGAAGTAAAAGCAGAAAACTTCACAAATATGAGGAAACAATCTGACATTCAGGTAACTGAAGCACACAGAATGTCAAATAACTTTAACACAATAAAAAACACACGAAGACTTAAAATAGTCAAGATCCCAGAAATACAGTACAAAAATAACATACTGAAAGCTGCTAGAGAAAAGAAGCAGATCACATTCAAAGGAAATCCCATCAGAATTACGGCCGACTTATCTTCACAAACCATAAAAGCAAGAAGAGAATGGAGCAGAGTACTTCAAGTCCTCTATGAAAAAAATTCCAGCCCAAACTACTATGCACTGCAGTACTCTCTTGCAAGTTGGATGGAGAAGTGAAATGCATCCATGACAAAGAACAGCTAAAGAATTTCATGATGACAAAGCCAACCCTACACAGACTACTGAATGATGTCCTACAGAGGGACCAAAATGATCAGAACTCCAAGAATGACAATAGAAGGAACCCACTAAGTAGAGCAAACAAATAAAAACAGGACAAACAGGAGTGAGAAACATCAGGAAAATAACATGTCAATCATAAGTCAACACATCTCAATTATAACCATCAATGTAAATGGACTAATTTCACCAATGAAGAGAAACAGATTGGCACAGTTGATTAGGAAACTAAATCCAACAATGTGCTGTATACAGGAAACACGCTTAACTCATAAAGAAATTCATAGGTTGAAAGTCAAAGGATGAAAAGCAGTACTAAATTCCCCAGCACCTCAGAGAAAAGCTGGGGTAGCAATACTTATCACAGACTGTCTCAACCTCAGACCAACAATGATCAAGCAAAATAAAGAAGGCCGCTATATACTGGTTAGGGGAAAAATTCAAGAGGAAGAGGTAACACTCATAAAGATGTATGCACTAAAAAAGGGAGCATCCAACTATATAAGATAAATCTTAATGAACATGAAAAAAATCTAATATTCAATACCATAATCTTAACAGGAGACCTTAACACCCCCTTATCCCAAAACGACAGGTCAACCAAAAAATATTTGAAAAGAACTAGTAGAACTTGACCAGAGCTTGAAACAAATGGAACTGATGGACATATACAGAGTGTTTCAATCATCACAGCTGAACATACATTTTTTTCAGCTGCACATGGGTCATTTTCTAAAATAGACCACATACTATTTATTCCATAGGTCATGCTTAAGTATATGCAAGAAAACAGTAATTATCCCATGTATATTATCGGACCACAATACAATGAAACTGAAAATAAATGACAAAAGAAACGAGAAAAAAACCTAAATAAGTAGAAATTAAACAAAACCCTGCTCAATAATCAATGAGTCACAGACGCAATTAAACAAGAAATTTAATAATATCTACAATTCAATGAAAATTCCAGCACAACTTGTCAGAATTTAGGGGATGCCATGAAAGAAATTCTCAGAGGAAAATTCATAGCTGTAAAGTCACACATTAGGGAAACAGAACGGGAACAGTTATACACCCTAATGCTGAACTTCAGACACTGAGAAAAGCAAGAGCAAACCAAACCTGAGCCCAAACAAGGGAAAACGTCATACAGATTAGAACAGAGATTCATTCATTGAGAAGAATAATACAATTCAAACAATTAACGAATGTATAAGCTACTTATTTGAAAGACTATATAAAATCAATAAGCCCTGAGAAAATCTCATCAAAAAGAAGAAAGAAAAATTCAAATACAAGCAATAAGGAATGAAAAGTGTGTAATCACTACACACCCAGTGGAAATTCAGAAGAGTATCAATAGCTACATTGAGAATCTTTACACTCACAGAATAGAAAACATAGATGAAATGGATAGATTCTTAGAAAGATGAAAATTACCAAAGCTGGATCAAGAATGTATAACAACTCACAATAACCCATTAACAGGCAGTTATATATGAAATGAAGTAAAAAGTTTGCAGACAAAGAAAAGTTCAGGTCCTGATGGATTTGCAGCTTAATTTTCCAAGAAATTTAGAAAATATATAATCCATACATTCGTGAAAATCTTCAATGATATTGAAAAGAAAACAGTTCTCCCAAAATCATTCCTGGAGGCAAGTATTATACTGATATCAAAAGCAGGTAAAGACGAAACTAAAAGGAGAACTATAGGCCAATTTCTCTCATGAACATAGATGCAAAAATATTCAATAAAATCCTAGTAAAGAGAATACATCAAATCATCAAGAGGATCAAACACCATGACCAGGTAAAATTCATCCTAGAGATGCAAGGATGGTTCAATATTCAAAAATCTATAAATGTACAACACTATACCAATAATGCAAAAAGTAAAACCACATGATCATCTCAATTGATGCAGAAAAGGCTTTTGCCAAAGTCCAAAACTCATTCATGTTCAAGGTCCTACAGAAAATTGGAATTGAAGGCCTCCTCTTCAATTTCATAAAAGTCATCTATGACAACCCATGGCTAATATACTTTAAATGTTGAAAAACTGAAATCTTTTACCCTCCGATCTGGTACAACACAAGGATGTCCTCTATCACCACTCCTGTTCAATATAGTTTTAGAATCACTAGCTAGAGCCATTAAACAAGAGAATCAAAAGGAATAAGAATATGTAAAGAAGAAGTGACCTAATACTTTTCTTGGAAGACCCAAAAACTCCACTGAGAAGAGACTAGAATTGATACAAAAGTAGAGAGCATGACAGGATACAAAGCCAATACCCATAAGTCAATAGCATTCCTCTACACAGATAAAAAACAGAGGGAAATTAGAGAAAAAAAATACCTTTTCTGATAGCACCATGGAAAAAGAAATACCTTGGAATTCATCTAACTAAAGAAGTCAAAGATCATTTCACATAAAATTACACTACTCTGAAAAAAGAGATAGTAGAGGATTTCAAAAATGGAAATATATTATCTACTCCTGTATAGGAAGAACCAACATTGTGAAGATGGACATACTCCCAAATTTTTGTACAGATTTAATGCAATCCCGACCAAACTACCATCAACATCCTTCGCAGACTTAGAGAAATCCGTCCTAATTTTTATTTGGTACCATAAAAACCTAGAATAGCAAAGTCAATCCTGGCCAAAAAAGGCAAGGCAAAGTTATTAAAATTCCTGACTTATAATTATACTACAAAGCTACTGTGATAAAATCAGCATGCTATTGGCAATGAAACAGACATGAGGAAAAAAGGAATAGATTAGAAAATGCAGAAGACTACGAACACACTCAGCCACCTGATCTTTGACAAAGGGGCTATATGTGCTTACTGGAAGAAAGATAGCCTCTTTAACAAATGTTTTTGGTAAAACTGGCTCTCTACATGCTGAAAAATAGAATTTGACCCAGGTCTAACACAACGCATTAAGCTAAAGTCAAAATGCATTAAAGATCTAAACATTAAAGCAGAAACACTCACTCTCCTGGAAGAGAAGGAAGGAGGAACTCTTGAAGACATAGGGGTCGGAAGAGAGTTCATGAACAAAATGAAACTGAATGGGAAACACTTGAAAGAATTAACAACTGCGGCCACCTATTATTGACAAGTTTTTGCACATCGAAAGAAATTACCAACAAAGTGAAAAGACAACCCTCAAATTTGAAAAATTCTTAATTAAAAAGCACTCAGACAAAAGTCTAATCTCTAGAATTTATAAAGAAAAAAAAAATAAACATTCGGGATCCTAAACTTAAAGACCCAATCCAGAAATGGGAAACTGAGATGAACACAAACTTCTCAGAGGACAAAATTAAAGAGGCGAATAAATATATGAAAAAATGCTCCACATCACTAGCCATTGGTGAAATGAAAATTATAACAAAAATGAGGTATAATCTCACCCCAGAAACAATGGCTATCCTAAAGAAATATACCAACAACAAATGTTCTAGAGGCTGTGGGGAAAAGAGAATCCTCCACTACTGCAGGAAATATAGGATGGTGCAACCATTATGGAAATCAGTGTGGAGACTGCTTAGGAACCTAGGACCAGAAATCCCCTTCAAACTAGCTGTTCCCTGACTGGAAATTTTGCCAGAGGAACTGAAAACATCATATCATAGTGATATATTTGTGCCTATGTTTATAGAAGCACAATTTGTGATAGGCAAATCTTGCTATAAAGAATGATAAAGTCTAAGCCTTCATATTTAAGTGGATGCCACTTGAAGGTACACTCATAAATGAAATAAAGCTGACACACACGTGTCAATATCATATATTCTCCCTAGAATAAGAACTCAAAAGAAGAAATACATATAGAAAGATGTAACACAATTAAAAGGAAAGCAAGAACATGAAGACCAGACAATGAAGAGAATGCAAGGAGAAGAGCTAGGAAGCATGACATAGGCAAGCCATACAGTTATATGTACAAGATAGGTAAGGCAATGATGCTGACAATCTTCAGAAGATTTTTGAATCTAGCAGTTAACTGGAAAGATTTACACCCTGACTAACTATATATGCTGACACCTGTGAACTAAGCAACTGCACTGAAGTTGGCAATTTGTAATAGAAGTTTCATGCTTGGAGTGCCTGTCATTCTGTTCTTCTGAATATGGGCTGCTTGTCATGACATGTCTCTTGCTGCCTTGCTGTCTCTCGGGTAGATGTTTATTTAAAACGAAGGGGGTGGTGAATGAATGCAGGAGACAGGAAAAGGAGTGTTGAGGGGCTGTTCTGCCACAATCATGTATATGGTTAGATTTCTAAACTTCAGTGTAAACATGTAATTGTTTTTCCCTATTTTTGTATATATTTTAATTTTTAAAGTTTTTTGTCATATTCTTAGGGACTTAAAGTTTGACATATTAATACTTGATGAAAAATACCTGTTCCATGTTTTACGTTAGATGTTTGATATTCAGACAGATACTGAGGTTAATCTCAACAGTCTATGTTGTATGGTAATAACAATAAGCTTCTCTTCTGGAGAGTTAGCGAACTAGGTTTGCAGACCAAAAATTAGAGAAAAAGGAAGCCCGCAAGGAAAGCCAATATTTTGGCCCTAGCCTTCCAAGTTCAATTAAGACTCAGGATATATGAGAAGCTTTACTATAACATCATGTAACTCAGTGGTTCTTCAAATTTTCTGATCAAGGAGATTATGGGGCCAAAGAGGAAAGTGATCAGTGATGTAGACTGTGCCCAAAGAGAGTCACATGGAGAGAAAACATTTACTCAGGATTTCAGAGAGAGCAAATTGACCAACCAATGGCCATGACTCATCCAAATGGCTGTGACTGACAAAGGATCTGCAAACTGAGGTACAGGATATCAGTATAAATCCTGAGGGGATTTGCCTGACCTTGTCAGATACAAAAGCTGCAATTCATGTTACATAGTTCTCGCTTTATCTTGGTCTTAACGATCCAGCAGAAAAGTATAAAAGCGAAGCTTAAGAAGTAAAGCCATGTTGTTATGTTGAGCTGTAGTGGACTCAGGTCAACCACTTCTGACCTTGCCAGTCAAGCAGAAGACCCAATACTATTATGGAATATTGGGCTATTTTTAAATATTTTGCTGAGTTCACACACCTGTAATATTTAAATTAAGTTACTAAATAAAAAAGCGGATACAGATGAATGACAATTTTGTATCTGTTTATTCAAAATAGTTAGGATAGATATACAGCTACTTTCTCTTAATTCAATGAAAAGAGGGATTTGTTCTAATATTGTTTGTAAATATAATATCATGTCTGCATCTAGTATAACAAACAACCACTAGGAAGACAGTATGCAATATGTTAATTATTGAAACTGTTCTATTAATGTGATTTGAAACTGTCTCGTTGCTATTTGCTTCTCAATAAATTATCTAAAAAAAATACTAAAGGTATAAAAAAGAAACCCAAAAATTATGAATAACAATTATCACTTGGGAAACTAAGAACTTCTGTAGAATTGGAAAAAATAATGAGTATAGATGGAATGCAAGTATCAGAGATAAATTATTCGAACACATTTAGCAGACAAGGTATTTATAACCAGAATGTATAAAGATTACTGTAAATAATTGTAGATAAAGACAAACAACTTGACACGAAAATTAGTAAAAGATACCATATTGCAAATCTCAAAAAGAAAAACAAATTAACCAAAAAACATATAAAGGATATTCATTTTCACTTGCAAAAAAATTCTTCTATCAATATTTTTTCATGTATATTTAGTAGAATGTTATTAAATTAATTTGTCTTGCTAGGTAAAATATTAGATGTGACACTCATGAAAGTAAATTTCAGTCAAATAAGACCCACTATTCTTCATAAAATGTATTATATGCATTACAAATACTTATGCAGGTAATTTTCCTATCAAATGTTTCCATTCAGTTATATTAGCAAATATACTGAATTTTCAATTTTTTTATTTAAATATGTGATCCAACTAACCTCTAATTCCAGTTAGTTGGTTTCTACTCTAATTACAATTGCAGTAAATGTATAATTAATTACCATATACTTAACTCTTTAAGTGAATTTCTGTTAATCAATTTTACATTTAACAGAAATATTTTATTAACACTGGTACCAAGGAAAATTCAATGTTTCTTTTTGCTGTTAGCTGTGGACTTTCAAGGAAAAATGAAATGATTTATGTAAAAGCTCTTTGCAAGTACAAACAGTTCTAAAAATCTCTCAACAGGATTCATAGCAATTGTATGTAGGCATACACCTACAAAACTATAACAATACAGACTTTATTTAATGACTGGTCTCCATCTCTGCTACTAGGTCATTAAACTTATTGATCAGTAAATGAGGAATTGTACATTGCATGTACATTACAATATTTAGAACAAAGAAATATTTAAAGGAAACCCCAACTTGAAGACTTTGTTTATATTGCATAACTCTTACATGCAATATCGTAAAATTTAACAAACTATAAATCTATAGGCATACACTGTACTGCATAGTACAATCTGTGAAAGTTATAGTATAGCATTATCCTGGCATACTGTACAAAACGGATCTGAGGCTTTATCAACAAGATATACAGAATTGTATAAATATACAAGTCATAAATTTGAGCTGTGGATTTCAAGTAAGAACAGTGTGCCTTTGTCATAAGGCCAAAGGTATTTGAACAAGTAGGTCACTGAACCAAGACTAACTGCAGATTCTAGCAAGTGCCTGAAATCCAAAGAAGTGTGTGCTATTCTTTGGACAGTTGCATGTATACCTTTGGGGTTGTTTGTCAGTCTACAAGTTGTTTGCTTGGAAATAATTGTGCTCATAATCCAGGTATTTCTAAGAAAGCCCAGATGAGTGTCAGCACCCTTGAGCAAGCTATGCAAATGACTCCAATATTACTGCAGGAACACACAATTCAAAGTCAGCTTCAGCTTTCCAGTCAAGGGAAAAGTCTACAGGATGAAGATGTGCAATGCTAGAAAGAAAACCTTGTATAAACTTCTGCAAAGTTTATATCATGAAATAATTTAGTCTAGGGATACAACTTGCCAAGTGTTAAACATATTTAGTTTCACTCAGAATGTCATCCTTATGTTTATATATGGTACAGAATTTATAATTATCTCATGTGTCTTAATATTTGAATAATTTTAAATTGCAGGGATATATCATATTTTGTTATCCATGAATCGAACTGATGAACATATGGGTTATTTCCACATTTTGGTTAATATTATTTCAGCAAAAACATTTTATAGGTGTTTTTGATTGAATGCCTTATTCTTTCCATTTAAGAATATACCTAGGAGTAAAATTGCAAAATTGTATAGAGGTGCTGTCTAAAGTTTTGAATAAGTCTTAGTCACAATTCATGGTCAATATAGGATATTGTTTGGTTCCTTGTATTAGTGGTTAGTTAGTAGTCTGACGAAGAATTCCTAAAATTCCACTACTGATGAACAAATCAATAAATAAGTAATTTCTAATCTTTACTCTTGAGAGACTACTGCTTACAACCCTCTTAATTGTCAATTCCTATTTGTACAGAGGTTAAATATCAGCTAGCCCTGGAAGGTAGTGCACTTTTTAAAATATGCATTAGTCTTGTGCATGTGCATGAACTTCCAGATTCTCTGGAATATATTCGAAGTTTTCATAAAATCCTTATTCCTGCAAGTATTTTCTTCTGAAACCTCTCCTTCCTGCATGTTTTAAGACACATTTTATTCTTTACCATGGGTGACTACAGTTGATAAATAAATTTGCAGCTAACATTTGCTTTTAATAAACACTGTGCAGAAAACTACTTAAGGACTGGCAATACTTCAAAGAGGTGAAATAAACACGAATCTTAATTTGATCCCCCAAAGATCCTTCAATACATAAAAATGCACAAATATTTTATTTGAGAAATTGCTTATATTTCTCACCCTAGCGCCAGAAACTTTTACAGGGAATGTGGGCTGAAGTATTCATGGCTGGTGACAAGCTGGGAAGTATGTTATGACAAATGGTTAAGTTAAAGTACCACTCCATTCCCTTACCATTCAGCACCTCGTTTATTCAATGAATTTTCTTCTTTAATGGGTTTTTTGGATGACAAAATTTTGACAAAATTGACTCAAGAATTTGTAGGAGGGCTGGCTGTATAGCTCCAGGGATTAAAGTGCCTGAAAGCAGGTGCAGGAGTCAGGGGTTCTATCCTTGGGATTGCCATGCCAGTCCTGCTTCCGGGGCATGCTGAGATGGCCATTGAGACTGGGCATGGTGGCACGCACCTGTAATCCCTGCTCTTGAGAGGCTGTAAACAGGAGGATCACTATGAGTCCAATCTAGTAGTGAGCCTGTGAACACCCTGTAGACCCCTCCCTAACAAGTACAAAAGAAAAAGTTCATAGGAATTTTTTTTTTAATTTTCAGACTCCCCTCAAACTTTCTTTTTCTTTCTTTCTTTCTTTCTTTCTTTCTTTCTTTCTTTCTTTCTTTCTTTCTTTTTTTTTAATTTTATTTATTTATTTGAGAGAG